CTGTCCCAACCACTTATTCTTTAAGTATTTTACCCTCGATATCTCGAATCCTCAGATATCTCGAAGTTTTTTCTTGGTCCCTTCAAGTTAGAGGTACCGAGGCTTGACTGTACAGTAAAAAAAATATACAATTGCGAATTCATATTTTTTACATAACATTACATGCAGTGTTTCAGAAATGCACTTATCTCTATTTTTCAAAAAAGTCCTAATTTTTTTTTACTGTTTTATTTTTTTTTTTTTTTTTGATCTGTGTTAGAAAACTATCAAGACTATTTATACACGAAAAAAGTTCGTCTTGAACATTGCCGCATAGATGCAATGATTTGTCAGGTTCGAATCTATAGAACAGCCCTGTGTCATCAGCATTGAAAACATATGCTTCATATACTTCAATTCAAGAAGTTTATTTTCCATTTACTTAATTACAGTGGATTTATTTACTCTGGCACTTTCTCCACTAGGGCTGTGTCAATATATTGATTAATCAATACATATCGATATTCAGGAATTTATCGTATCGACAAACTAACTTCCAATACGTATTGGGCAGACTGTTTTTCTTATAATTCTGTGAAAAAGTTGGGAATTTCAGTCACCAAAGATAATTTTTAACTGTTTTTAATTAAAACTGGTCAATGGTAAAATAAACATTAAGGAGATAGCACATCTTAATTAACTATTGCAAAATTCATATACAACTATATTTTAACATATTAGTTTTTCAGTCATTAAAAGTTTGAATTTGAAGTGTTCTTTGTAAAGACAGTGAGACATATGAACTTCCAATTTGGTATTAAAACACCCAGTTTTTATCAAATTTATGCATTAAATGATTTACAAGACCTTTTTGCTAGACTTATTTTAGAATCCAATATATAGCATATTGCTTTATAAAATATCTTATCGAAATATTTTGGTCAATACACAGCCCTATTCTCCACACACCAATGTACACATGACACCGCTGCGTATTTTATCCATGTCGGTCTTAATGCCGTAGTTAGAAAATAAAAATGGCGACTAATATGTTCCGGTGAGAAATGCTCAATGATTATTGTTTTATCTATACAACACATAATTAAATTTGTACAGGTCCACGAACATCAAATCACCTGTGAAAAATTAACACGTGCTAGACTTTATATATAGTCAGTCACCTGAGTCCACGCGTCGCAATTGGCAACTTCAATGTACCCGTTATCAAAACTGCTATAAGCTTTGTGTTCAGCGGACCCCAAAATCACTTCAAATTAACAGAGTTTTTCAAGTTAACCGATTTCAATCTAAACGAGTATTTAATGCAGAGAAACTGTACCAGCATTTTAGGAGAAACCCAGTTCATTTCAAACAAACCGATTTTTCAAACAAAGAGAGTTCAATGCAAGTGAGTTCGTTACATTACAATTCAGTTGACCTTGACCTTTGATTGTATAAAATCACTCTGGCGGTTGATTGAATTATTATTATTTTTTTCTTTGTTTTTTGATTTTGAGAGGCAGGATTTTGATAATTAGCATTTATATCACATGTTACTGTATATGAGCTCATGACACTGTACTTTGAAACTGTATGCAATATAACCACACAAACTGAAATTTAAATACAATGAAAAGACATCAGGATGGGTATACCAAAAGTATCGTTATAGAGTGAATAGAGACTGAAATCTCTTTTGGAAGATATCTGGGATAAAGATATATTTATTAAAAATAATTATTTTAATTATTATACCCCCACTCCGAAGGAGAGGGGGGTATACTGTTTTACCCTTGTGTGTCTGTCTGTGTGTCTGTCTGTCTGTCTGTCCGTAACAAATATTTCGTCACAGTTTTCTCAGCAACTACTCATCGCAGATGCTTGAAATTTTAGTACACACTTTATTGAGGTATGCCATATGGTGGGATTCATTTTCATACGAATCTGATTTCAACTTCCTGTTAATCCGTGCGTCTGTCTGTACAATACATAACAAATTTTGGTTGCAGTTTTCTCAGCAACTTCTGATTGCAGATGCTTGAAATTTTAGCACATTCTTTGTTTAGGCATGCCATATAGGGGATTTATATTTGTACGAATCCAATGTCAACTTCCTGTTTATCCGTGCATCTGTCCGTACCATACATAACAAATTTTGGTCGCAGTTTTCTCAGCAACTACTGATTGCAGATGCTTGAAATTTTAGCACACTCTTTGTTTAGGCATGTCATATGTTGGGATTCATTTTTGTACGAATCTGATGTCAACTTCCTGTTTATCCGTGTGTCTGTCCGTACCATACATAACAAATTTTGGTCACAATTTTCTCAGCAACTACTGATTGCAGATGCTTGAAATTTTAGCACACTCTTTGTTTAGGCATGTCATATGTTGGGATTCATTTTTGTACAAATCCAATGTCAACTTCCTGTTTATCCGTGTGTCTGTCCGTACCATACATAACATATTTTGGTCGCAATTTTCTCAGCAACTACTGATTGCAGATGCTTGAAATTTTAGCACATTCTTTGTTTAGGCATGTCATATTTTGGGATTCATTTTTGTACAAATCCGATGTCAACTTCTTGTTCATCCTTGAGTCTGTCCATAGCTGAACTTGTGTATATTCACATCAGAATGTATATTCACATCAAAGCGGGGGTATTACTAGTGAACATTGGCTCACAGACTTCTTGTTAATTTCAATTTTATAATTCACTTTAGCTTTGAAGGGTGGAGAATCATATATCGTAATCTATTGTCAGATTTTATATGATAAATGCTATTCTGTATGGGTGTTTACTATTTGTGGATTTTTTTTCTTTGCTATATAAGGGCTATTTTGAAATTAATGAGACATTTACTTTTACTCCATAAAAGAAAGACATTAATTCATGAAAATTTGTCAACATTTTAACAAGAACAAATAAAACAGCTATGCAAAATTTCTAATTGATAGGATAATTAGACATGTCCCATTGGAATTATAAACTTGCATATGTCTATTGACCTAAAGCATCATTGCTTCTTCATTTTCATCTCATGCCAGCCATAGATCTTTACCATGTTGAGACAGTCTGGAAGCTTTAATGCTTCTTTCTCTGTCATCACAGAAACTACTCAACTGATTGAGATGAAACCTTTTTAGGGTTAACAGGCATGTTGTGTAGATGTGCAGAAGGAAGGTCATTTTATCCACACTTACATGCACATGCGTGCGTGTGCAAGGAGTGAAATGACTGAAGCAATTGAAACACCATAAACCTTCCTGTTTTTTTATGATATGCTTTGAACTTCATTGTATAAACTTATATTAGTAGTGTAGACAAGAAGAGGTGGTTGAATTAGCAAGAAAGCATGTGCATGCATGTGTGCTTTGCTCTGTTTGACTGACACAAAAAATTTCAATAACCTTTTTTTTGATGAAATGCTTTGAAATTTAAAACATAGTCATACACAAAAAAGCTCTCCATTTTGATATAATATATGAGATATTGTGAAAACACGCTCATGCAAGTGTGCTGCAATTTGATTGGCTTAAATTTTAAATGGCTGTTACAGTAGTAACTTTCTTAGTTTTTAACAAAACTGGATGGAATTTACAATATAGATAGGTGTAAAGGGTTCCTACATTGTGCTACTATGAAAATTGAATGCAAGAAAGTGGATTCTGATTTGCTAATACTTATATGGCTGTATCTCTCATAGTTTTCAATGAAAATCTTTAGATTTCTTACATAGCTATTTATTGTGAGTCTCTTCACGAGGAAGGAATATGAAATATTTAGAAAATATGGGCATGTGCATGCGCTAGAGGTTTAACAATACAGCAATACATCGATCGTATTGATCGCAAGGGCTGATGATACGCGTATCGCCATGTATGTATTGTGATACAGTAGAAGATAATTTTCATTGTTTTGTTTGTAACTTCTACATTCAACCTAACAAATTTTAATGTTTTAAAATGGCTGAAAAAAGGTAGCAAAGAAAAAATACAATATCAAGACTATAAATCCACCTTTTATTAACTTTGATAAGGGTTATCAAGATATTCTTTGTATATTTTCTATAACTGTGGAGTTAGCAAAGAATTATATGTTAAGATAAAGCTTAATTCAATTGGTGACAGCTGTATCATGGTATATGTTGTATATCACATGACCGTATCATTGTTAGGTAGTTTGCGATATACTCAGGTCTAGCATGCGCTGAAATCCAATTGGCTAATTTAATACTCAAAGAACTATACCAGTGTTGTTTTTTAATAAATACTACTGAAAATAAAGTATAGATTTATTAAACAAAAGAATTGCATAATTAAATGAAGCCTGTAATGAATGTGGCCCATAAGAGAATGGGGAAGTGTTTGGGGAACATCTGAAACAGTTCTCGTTACAGTTAGCACTAGTTGTTATTGTTTTAGCAGATCTTTTAGTCTGGAAAAGAGTTCTCCAAAGAGCTACGTAAAATTCTATAAGTATGCTTGCTGTGTCGCGTTGACGTCAAAATCTATTTTATTGATGTAATCAGATATCTATACCTAGCTTAGATTTTTTTATGATCTCCGTATTTCTGATTGAAATTCAAAGAAGCTTGCACAAAATGAATTGAAATGAAATTGAAAAAATAAATACTGATATATAATTTGAATTATTTTCACTCTTGCTGTATATGGGTCCACTGGGAGTTTGAACATAGGTATAACATATTTCAATATATGATTTCGTGACGGCACCGGGTATTCCTTCTATTTACCCATTAATATACCATTGAAAAGAAGAAATAAAATATTTGTAAAATATTTGTTGCTTTTATTAATTCTTAGTGTTTGTCAAACATATATGCCATTTTTCACCAAAAGGCATTACTTGGAAAGAAAAATAAACACTATGTACTAATAATCTCTTAACAGCCCTCATAATGCTTGTATCAAATAATATTTGACCACCCTTAGATTTTCTTCTAATCTTAAATAATGATGCTGTTCATCAGGCGACACGTGTTCCTTGGAACACTCTTTTAATTTTAGCTAGCAAGATTATTTGGACTTAAAAGTCAAGTTAATAATCTTCTAACAAACATTTTCTTCTGTCATGTTTAATTCATAGTCACTAGGCAACACTGAAATTTCCACTCATTGCTTTTCAGTCATCGACAGGAAAAGGAATTACCGGTAAGTTGACAGGACTTTCCACACTGTTTCTGGTAGCAGCTTATGATTGAATTGATGGTAGAAGACGTGGCCCACTTAATCAAAGGTAAATCTCATGGAATAGTGCTAATAGTACTGATATTTTTTTTTACTCTGTTTTGCATTGAAGCTTTAGGTCAAAGGCAAATTTTCTTTGTGTGGATTCTTTTATTCTTCTCAGAAATGTGTGGCTGCTAATTGAGCCATAGCTGTCTGTTTTCTTTGAGAATTAAAGAATTGCAGCAGATCTTTTAGGTTTTCAATGAAATTTCCTTGTTTTTCAGATAATCTGTATAGAGTGGCACCTTAACCACCACTGGTGAAATAGATGACTAGTGGATGGTCATCACTTTGCAGCTCACTTTCACTTTCTGCAGCCCATCTCTTCTCATCCACAATCATTGTCTTTGGAGGAATGGTGACAGTGCAGTCCTCATGGCTGGGCAGGTAACTTCCTTTCCTTTATTTCTCAGCTTTCACCTTTCTTACAAAATTTATTTCCATAGAACACTGCTACAATTTTCTTCCTCTAAGAACACAGTATATGTCACTTGGGTAGCAGCTTAGAATTGGGTTTTCCCAATGGCACTGAAGGTGGCAATTTTGTATTGAGCATCTCCTTCCACTCTGATACGTGTATCAGGAGTCCCCATTTTTCATTTAGATCCTGAATGTTCTGTCTTATATTCATCATGCTGGTCTTCTACCCCCACAATAAAGGTTGGGGGAATATATAAAAATCACCTTGTCAGTCTATCGGTGCCAACTTGTTGGTCATTGGAAGCTCAAACTTTGTACAAAGAATGTTTATGACCTGTTGGTGTGTCAAGATCTTGACCCAAGGTCATTCCGGCTAGTTCAACAGGGTTTGACACTAAGGCATGTTTGACCCAGTCTAGTAAATGAGTGGTCCAGTCGTGTAAAAGACCAAGTGGTCGTATTGATAAAATAACTGTTGAACCCCCATTTCAGTCCTTCAAATAAATAATCTAAAAACTTTTAAAGAAAGGACAAGGTATGGTAACGGCCGAATCTGGCCCCTTGTTTGATGTAAAAATCAGAACACAGTTAAAATTATGATAGTTTGCAGGTAAGAATTAAAAATAATGCTTGTTTTAAAACCAGCACTAATTTTGATTCAAAGCTTACACGGAGGCCACAAGAGGGTGTAGAAGTAGGTTATTTCCAGAATTTCCTCAATTCTGGTTGCATTTTGTCAAATTTGCAGGGGTTGAAATATATGGTAGCCCGATGCCCGGGGCTAGTCAATTTAAGACTCGGGCTAGCTAATTCAGATGTAATGATAGTCCATCGGACTAGCAGAATGGGGAAAAAATCTCAACAGTTTACTTTCACTTTTCTATGTTGAGTGGTTTCATTAGACTGAGAACTACATTGTAGTTTAATTTGTTTCTGTCACCACAGCCTTTAAAACTTTTACTTGTTATGTTTTCATTTCGCATGAAAAAGTTGTTGGGCTAGTTAGTTTGAGGTTTGGGCTAGTAATTTTTACTGGTCAATAGCCCCTGGGCTAGTGGGTTTTCCAGGAAAATTTAAACCCCTAATTTGAGATACTTTTCACTTTGGGAAATATAGAGCACAAGGCTGCCTATCTGAGATTTTTATACATAAGATGCATCTGATACTATTGTATGAAATATATAAATTTGGTAGATAGGCAAGCTTGTGCTCTATGTTTTCTGAACCAAAATGTGCTGTAAAACCAATGAAAATTTGCATAAAATGAGAAAATTCGGAAACTGACATTTTTCCTGACCTTCCTGTGGCCTCTGTGTATCCCATAACTTAGAAACAATACTCAATTTATGGCAGAGGTGACAACAGGTTTTTAACTGAAAAACTGTTGCAACATTCTAAAAGACACCCCAAACCAGGGGCCAAAAAGGGATCTTAGCCTATCTTATCCTTTCTTATATGTTAGATTGTAAACAGTCATTGCTCTGTAAAGAAAAAATCCCCACATGACCCAATCACTATTTTTAGCCACAGCTGTTATTAACAAGTCGAGGGCAAAACTACTTTTGTTCAGTACAATGTTTCAATATGATGTAAATAGTTATGATTAGTATAGTTTTAAACTAATTTATTAATATTAACGATAATTATTTTATGAAAGTTTGTTGAATCTTTAAGGCTTATATTGCTCAAATGTCATGATGAACCCGACTTGATTGGCGGGATCCCATCAAACAGTCTGTCAAAATTCAAGGTCACTGACAGAAATGATATAAACTTCTTGTCCAGGATATCAGTTTGCAATGGAGAATCATTGAAGCTCATTCTTGGTACAAAGATTATTGAAGACCTGAGAGTGTGTCATGACCTTGGCCCATGGCAATTCTGTCAAGTTCAAGGTCACTGGCTTAAAAGGTATAAAACACTTGTGTAGGCTGTAACTTTGTAATGGAGAATCACTGGAAGATCTTACTTGCTACAAAGATTGTTTATGACCTGGAAGTCTTGACCTTGACCAAGGTCATTCTGGCAAGTTCAAGGTCACTGGCAGATAAGAGATAACATTCTTGTCCAGTCAATAACTTTGTAACTGAGCTTTAATTTGCTACAAAAATTTTTTTTCTGACCTGAGGGTCATTGTGACAAGTTCAAGGTCTCTGGCAGAAAAAATGTAAGTCTATTATTTTGTATTAATGGAGAAAAATTTGATGTCCATATTTCACTCTTAGATTAATCATGTCCAAAGATCTGTCCTTTTTTTTACCAAAGTCATTTTGGTAAGTTCAAGGTCACATTTACACATTCTAAATAAAAGAATTGCAGCAGGGTTATAACCTTATTATTTTGTTAGCTCGCTCACAGCACCTTTAGCTGACATAAGTGATGTAATAATTTTTCTCACTTTGTTTCAGGTCTACTGCATGTTGACAGCTGATACTTGTTCTCTATTTACTCCAAGAGGCCTACTACACATTGTACCTCAGTTATGACTGTACTCTTGCTGGCTTCTATGATGTTAATTTCCTGTACCTGCACTGCGTTAAACTTGGTCAATTCTGTTACTGTCGAACACCAACAGATGAAAATAAGATTAAGGAGGTTCGATCCTGAGCTTTTGAGCAGATTTTGGTCTGGACCTTTATTATACCCCCGCTCCGAAGGAGAGGGGGGTATACTGTTTTACCCTTGTGTGTCTGTCTGTCTGTCTGTCTGTCCGTCTGTCTGTCTGTCTGTCTGTCTGTCTGTCTGTCTGTCTGTCCGTCCGTAACAAATTTTTTTGGTCACAGTTTTCTCAGGAACTACTCATTGCAGATGCTTGAAATTTTAGCACAATCTTTGTTTAGGCATGCCATATGGTGGGATTCATTTTTGTATGAATCCGATGTCAACTTCCTGTTTATCCGTGCGTCTGTCCGTTCCATACATAAAAAATTTTGGTCGTGGTTTTCTCAGCAACTACTCATCACAGGTGCTTGAAATTTTAACACACTCTTTGTTTAGGCATGCCATATGGAGGGATTCATTTTTGTACAAATCCGATGTCAACTTCCTGTTTATCCGTGCGTCTGTCCGTACCACACATAACAAACTTTGGTTGTAGTTTTCTCAGCAACTACTCATCACAGGTGCTTAAAATTTTAACACACTCTTTGTTTAGGCATGCCATATGGTGGGATTCATTTTTGTACAAATCCGATGTTAACTTCCTGTTTATCCGTGCGTCTGTCTGTATTAACATAACAAATTTTGGTTGTAGTTTTCTCAGCAACTACTCATTGCAGATGCTTGAAATTTTAACACACTCTTTGTTTAGGCATGCCATATGGTGGGATTCATTTTTGTACAAATCTGATGTTAACTACCTGTTTATCCGTGCGTCTGTCCGCACCACACATAACAAACTTTGGTCGTAGTTTTCTCAGCAACTACTCATCACAGATGCTTGAAATTTTAGCACAGTCTTTGTTAAGCGTTGCCATATAATTGGATTCATTTTTGGAACAAATCCGATGTCAACTTCCTGTTTATCCATGCGTCTGTCCGTACCATACGTAGCAAATTTTAGTTGTAGTTTTCTCAGCAACTACTCATTGCAGATGCTTGAAATTTTACCACAATCTTTGTTTAGGCATGCCATATGTTGGGATTCAGTTTTTACAAATCCGATTTCAATTTCCTGATTATCACTGTGTTTGTCCATAACCGAACTTGTGTATTCACATCAGAGCGGGGGTATTATTAGTGAGCATTGGCTCACAGACTTCTTGTCTCTAAAATTCTGCATCATTTTAAGTTCTAACATTAAATCTGGATTTTACAATGCAAATTAAACTATATTCAGTGAAAAAACCGCGATTAAATTCCATTCAAATAGGATTAAGTTAGGGACTATATTTTGTGGCGGAAGGTTTTGTAGAAGAAAATGATCAATTTTTTCCCTTTTGAAATATATACAGTACTGTTAAGTTTAGATTCCAATTTTTCCATGCTGGTTGCAAACAGAGCTGATTTTTGCTGTGAAATGTTTTATTCTGGTTCTGAAATATCTATCAAACTATTTCTTTCGAATTCTTTCATTATATTGTGACAAATATAGTAAATATATTCTGAAAGTCCAGGAAAAAATTAAGCCAATTTTAACATAAAATTAACACATTTTTAGTAATATCTAAAAATTTACATCATAGACCGCCACTTTTGTTTTTCTTTTCTTAATATATAAGATAACTTTGATCAATCTGCTTAAAGTCAGCAAAAGTTTAAGACTTTAAAATATTTTTCTTGCTTGTTAAAAATTTTAATGCCAGAAAAATCACATTTTGTGAGTGCAGAAAGGTCAAATAATTGATTATGCTGAGCAATTTTGAAACTTTTACTTAGTCACAATTTTAATGTGTCTTATTTTAAATAGACTAATAGTTTATTTTGCCCCATGATTTATTTGGATACTAACATTGGGGGAAAAACGTGCGAAGATGTGATTTTTGATTAAGACACAAATTTCAGTGCAAAAAGGTCATATTAAATGTACTGTAGCGCCAAAAGAAGCATATTGACACCCATTTTTTGTTTTGATTTTTAATTAAGCTATGTGTGTAGAAACTAAAAATATACTTGACAAAAAAAGTTTAAGACTTTAAATATCAGGATCCAACCTCGTTAAGCTGATCCTGCCAACATTGTGACATAAGCGGTCCAATGTCCAATATCTCACTCTGCAGTCAAACATCAATGCTCAGTAAAACATTGGAAATGTTAGACTTTTTAGTATTGATTTTTATAGTTACATATTTTAAAAGTAATAACAATTCTTTTTATGCCCCCGGATCGAAAGATCCCGGGGGTATATTGTTTTTGTCCTGTCTGTCTGTTTGTCTGTCTGTCAACTTTAACCTTGCCCATAACTTTTGATTGGTTGGAGCTATTACTTTCATATTTCACATGTGTATTTCTTGTGACAAGACCTTTCTTTGGGTACCATCATATTTGACCTTTTGACCTTGACCTTAGAGTTTGACCCACTTTTGCAAAATTTTATGAGACTTTAACCTTGGCCATAACTTCTGAACAGTTGGTGCTTGGGGTTTCAAACTTCACATGTGTATTCTTTGTGACAAGGCCTTCCTTTGGATACCAACAATTGACCTTGACCTTGGAGTTTGACCTACTTTTGAAAAACTTTAACCTTGGCCATAACTTTTGAACGGTTAGAGCTAGGGCTTTCATACTTTATATATGTAATCTTTGTGACAATACCTTCCTTTGGATACCAACCACTTTGACCTTTTGACCTTGACCTAGGAGTTTGACCTACTTTCGAAAAACTTTAACCTTGGCCATAACTTTTGAATGGTTAAAGCTAGGGCTTTCATACTTCACATATGTAATCCTTGTGACATCACCTTCCTTTGAATACCAACCACTTTGACCCTTTGACCTTGACATAGGAGTTTGAACTACTTTTGAAAAACTTTAACCTTGGCCATAATTTTTGAATGGTTGGTGCTAGGGCTTTCATACTTCACATATGTAATCCTTGTGACAAGACCTTCCTTTGGATACCAACAACTTTGACCTTGACCTTAATGTTTTACTGACTTTTAAAAAACTTTAACCTTCGCCATAACTTTTGAACAGTTGCAGCTAGGGCTTTCAAATTTAACATTTTTTATCTTTTGGCCTGGATTTTGACTTGCATTTGAGAAACTTTAACCTTCGCCATAAGCTGCCATACGGGGGCATCAGTGTTTCACAAACACATCTTGTTATTGATGTATGTTTAAGTATGCAAAAATGAACATTGATGATATTAAAGGTGAGGTATTTATTTGTGATTTCTCTTCTGAATAAAATTTTATATCAATAATTTATGCTCTTGTTTATACAAACCGCAAATGAGGCTTTCTATTCATTAGGAACTGGACCCATAATTACTTCCTTAAGGAGGAATGCCACACCAAAATTTAATTCCATTGGTCTTAAGACATCCATGTTAAGGAAGCTCTAAACACTAATGAAAAATGCTTTTTGGGCTTTGAGGAAAATATATCATATAAAGGTGCACATATTTAGTGTATCAAGTTCATTTTCAACATAGGGTACCTGCCTTATTTCTGCAGAAAAAATGTTCAAAGACAATGAACTATTTGTGAACAGAAATCACTGTTTTTTACTTGCATCAGGAAAATTAATGGAAATAATGTATTCAATTACTTAATCTTGGTCTAACATAACATTAAGAATACTTTAATTCATAAGAAATTATGTCATTAACTGTAGATTCCCATTTATACTATTTTTCTTCTAAGGGCAAATCACCCAATAAAACTACCCTACAAATAGAACTCTTTAGTTTGCAGTGTTTAGAGCTTCCTTAAGTCATGGTTTCAGCATTGAAAGGCCTAGCTCTTAAATATTTTATAAAAATTTTCTCCAATTTTTCATAGAAAATGAAAAAAAATAATGTTTTATTTGCAAATAAGATGCTTTATAGTTAAAAATTTGTTGTTAATGAATGCATAATATAAATATCTCATAAAATATGTGAAGAAAAGCCAGATAGACATTTTAATTTTTTTACTAAAATTTTTTTTCGAAAAAGTACATTATTTGTGAATATTTTCAAAACATATGGATAATATAATTATTCAAAAAACAAGTCACAGCTACAAAGGATATGTTAGACAATCATATTTGAAAAAGAAATTGAAACGAAATTGCGAAATTTTAAAGAAATTATTTTTTTACAAATTTTAGCCGATCCCGATCGAAATTAAACTGATCCCAACCAGAATTTTATAATAATTGATGATAGATAATATTTTCAGAAGAAATACAAGTTTGTTAAGGTGTAATACGCGTTAAAAAGTAATTGAACTTGATAAATAAATAAATTTCTTAGTGGTAAATACTTAAAGAAGGCAATAATTTCATCTTATTTTTGTTAATTTTGATCGGGATTGGTCAGGATTTCAGGATTTTTTTTTCAAATGTTAAAAAAGCAAAATGTTTACAAGCAATAAAGGGAAATAGCTAGGCTGTTGACTATTTTACAAAACTTAAATTCTTAAAACTGAGAAAGGAGGGGGAGGGGGGTGGTGTAATACTCTCATTTTCTTTTCTGCACGAAATATATTCTGTACAATACGGTGCAAGCGGTTCAACGCTACCACAGAAAAGTGTGTGTTGGTTGGGGGGGGGGGGGTCTCAGATTAAATAATACCATGCATACAGGTGTATCTGCAAAAGACAGATGAATCCAAATCCAAATCTTATGTAGAGAAAGAATACATATACTTTTACATGTACCGGTAAATACAATGTATAAAAATGTTTGTTTGTTTGTTTGCTTAGTTGTTTAACGTCCCTTCGAGAATGTTTCAATCATATTGAGACGCCAACACTTGCTGGTGGGGGACTGCAAAGTTAGACCTGTACTCGACACTTGCGGCTTTTGAGCAGAGAGAGATCTTTTTCGTGCCAGCATCTACTGCGACAAGG